TTGGAGAAATATGCAGATTGATCCACTGCTTGAGCAGATTGATTGGTTCTTCACATTCCTACATTGGACCAATGCATACCCTAAGACGCTCGTTAAACCCCTTGGCAAGCCAGTTTCTGATCACATCCCTTGCGTTGTCTCTATTGAGACCAAAATCCCCCGATCCAAGCTCTTTCGTTTTGAATCCTATTGGACCCTCCATCCAGGGTTTATGGACATTGTTAGTGAGGTTTGGGAGCAGCCAGTTAGGGCTACAAAATGCTGCCACTGTCCTTTGTCGCAAATTCAAAGCTCTTCGGCACACTCTCAAAATCTAGAGTAAGAATATTTCTCGTCTTTCAGTGGCCATCACAAACTGTAACACTGTCCTTGCGGACTTAGATGAGCTGGAGAATAAACGAAACCTCTCAATCCCAGAAATGTATTTTAGACGTATTCTGAAGACGCACTTGCTGAGACTGCTCAAGTACAAAAAAACTTTATTGGAAAAAGCGCTGTACTATTCATTGGATCAAATTTGGAGATGAAAATTCTAAATTTTTCCAAGCGGTGGCCACGGAACGCTATCACAAGAACAATATCTCCTCCTTCACGCTGGAGGATGGCACACTGGTTGACAATCATCCGACAAAGGAGGCCCTCTTGTTTCAACCGTCTGGGGACGGTCTCCCCTTCTGACATGAAATTTGATCTTCCATCCATCATCCCTCGCGCCACTAATCTTGATCAGCTCACCTCTCCTTTTACCCATGAGGAAATCGATAATGTGGTCAAAGGTATGCCTCCTGATCATGCACCTGGCCCAGACGGTTTTAGTGGGGCTTTTTTGAAAGCATGTTGATCCATCATTCGACACGACTTATATGCCCTATGCGATCAGTTCTATGAAGGTACGTTTGATGTGACAAGTATCAACGATGGTCTCATCACACTCATACCTAAGATCAACTCTCCTGAGACGGTCAACGACTTTAGACCCATTACTCTGCTCAACTACTGCCTAAAGTTAATTACCAAACTACTAGTTGACAGACTTCAACGTGTCATCCTCACCCTTATCCACCGTAATCAATATGGGTTTATTAAGGGACACACTATACAAGACTGTCTAGCATGGGCATACCAATATCTTTATCGATGTCAAAGCTCGGGTCGGCCAATCATTCTTCTTAAACTTGACTTCGCCAAAGCATTCGATACTATTGCACACGAACCGATGATTCGCATTATGCAGCAAATGGGTTTTAACGACAAGTGGATTTCTTGGATCAAGTGCCTCTTCTCCTCGGGTCGCTCGTCCGTCCTTCTTAATGGGGTCCCCGGTCGGCAATTCCTTTGCCGATGCGGTGTGCGGCAAGGAGATCCTCTGTCCCCACTCATCTTTGTCCTCACAACTGAATTACTACAAGCTGCGGTCAATGATGCCTTCCGGCGTGGAGATCTTCACTTGCCTTTTCCTTGCAATGGACAAAATGACTACCCAGTGATTCAGTACGCCGAGGACACCCTCCTTGTTTTGCCTGCCTGCCCGCACCAAGCCCTACATGTCATGAACATTCTTTCTGACTATGCATCCTCAATTGGTCTCAAAATTAACTCTCATAAGTCCACGCTCATACCAATCAACCTGGACGCAAGTACAACGACTAGCCTATTCGATATTTTTGGTTGCAATGTAGGTACAATGCCTTTCACCTACCTTGGCCTTCCGCTCGGCATTACCAAGCTAACCACCCAGGAGTTCATGCCCCTAGTTTGCAAAATGGAACGCCGCCTAACTGCCACGATCGCCATGATGTCCTATGGGGGGCGTCTCTCCTGGCTCAATGCATCTGTCACATCCCGTCTGGTGTTTGCCATGTGCACGCTCTAGTTCCCTCTGAAACTGATTGAAATTCTAGACAAGATTAGAAGGAGATGTCTCTGGACAAAGAAAACTGATCAAGGTGACAAATGTAATTCGTTGGCAGCTTGGGAACTGGTGTGCAAGCCCAAGAGCAAAGGTGGGTTAGGAGTGATCAACATTAAAATCCACAATGATGCTCTCTTGTTGAAATTTCTGCACAAGTTCTATAACAAACTGGACGTGCCATGGGTTAATATGCTTTGGGACAATCAATATGTCAACCAAGTGCCTCATGCGGTTGATTCGGTCGGATCTTTTTGGTGGAAAGACATACTCAAGTTAACACCCATTTACCGGGGGATCTCTCGTGTCCAAGTGGTTGATGGCTCGACTACGCTGCTCTGGAAGGACTTGTGGTCAAATGAGGTGCTCCAATCATCATACCCGCGCGCCTTCTCTTTTGCTCTGCATGAAGACATGACGGTCGCTGACTTCTGGGACAACACTGAGCTGCATGAAACCTTTCACCTGCCACTGTCCGCTCTAGCTCTCAATGAGGTGCAAGATGTCCAACATGCAGCATCCAACATACACCCTTCGACAACAATGACTGATGTCTGGCACTACACTTGGGGCGCTGCTGAATACAGACCAAAAGACTACTATAGCAACTTCTTCCGTGATGCAACAACTTATCCCGCCTTTCGACTCCTTTGGAAATCAAACTGTACAATGAAAATCAAAGTGTTTGGCTGGCTACTGCTGCATGATAGGTTGAACACACGTGACATGCTGAGGAGGAGACACTATAACATTGGGAATGATTTCACATGTCTCCTTTGTGGGCAAAATACGGATGAGACTCTTGAGCATATGATCTTCACTTGCCAGTTCAGCGAGAGGTGTTGGGCCAAGCTGCGTATTGACTGGCGTGGTTTTCAAAACAGGTTCACTGCGTTGCAAAACGCACAAACAAATTGGCCCAATCCTTTCTTCATAGAAGTATTCTTCACTGCTGCCTGAGTTTGTGGAAAGAAAGAAACAATAAACACTTCAGAGGTGTCGCCCCAAGCACTGCATCTTGGTTCCATCGATTCAAAAAGGACATGGGGCTTTTACAACATAGAGTTAAGGTTGCACGTAGCGCTGCCCTGCTTTCATACTGTGACGCACTTGGTTGAGTCCTACTTTTGCTTTTTACTCTTTTAGCATACATAGAGACAAGTGTGTAGCAGTGATCATGGAGTAGTTGCCCACCCCCGATGGTAACACCAGGAGTGGAGTTGGATGTATGTGAGTTGTATGTCTATGTAAACACCCCATTTATATAGATATATGAAAATACAGTGGGAGTTCTCTCCCACTGTCAAATTCCTAAAAAAAATGCAAAAATAAGTCGTAGGTTTTTACATCGAGGAATTAGACCAAGCATATCCGAGTAATACCTTCAACAAGGTAACGACGCAAAAATATCGTCATTGTCAGGTATAACCAACATAGATGAGACCTACACTTTCACCCAACATTTGTGATGAGATTATTTCCTATCCTGTCCTCTGGTAGCTCCTGACCAGATTTCCCAGCCCTCCAGGAAGACTTCTAAGTTTACCACCAAAGTCATGTATCATTGGTTGGAGCACAATATTTCTGGTGATAAATTCAAATGTGTTTGGATCTAATGTTCCTTTGAAAATCGAAATTAGGTCCTTGGAAGTTATTTAGACAAGTGATAACATAAGTAAATGGAATTGGTGAAGCTCATCCAGTATTCACACCCATAATACTTGTTTTATGCTTAAACATCTTTAAAAAGTTTATCATCCAAGGTCCACTCCTTGGAAAACTCCATTTTAATTCTATATATATGGTTGGTCAGACAGTCGGGATTTGGGTGAGCTTCATGCTCTTGACTTCATGGTGTCGAAGGACATTGCCTTCGGCTTGGCCTTCAGTGGCACCATCACTTCTATTTGGACACACGATAAGTTTTTGTCAGAAATAAACCGAAGCACGAAAATAGATATGCTTGGCAACTAAAGTTGTCATTCTCGCGTCACTAAACTTGTCATAAAAACGTTCTGAGTTGCCATGTGCTCGTATCTTGTGAGGCACTTATCAGGATCCTAATTTCCTTCAAACCAAATGAGCCCCTAGAATAACAGTGCAGCGTGACGTCCAGTCTCTAGAGGGCATGGTGGCAATTGGCACACTTCCGTTTGTTCAGTTGAGTCAGTTCGATTTGCTTTCGCCAGCGATAACGTCCATGGCCAGCGCTTATCATGGCGTCTGCTTATCCCACCCAACGTTTGGGCAAAAAGTGCACACTTCTGGTGAATAAATGACGTCGAGGGCCTGCAGGTTTGCAACTGCATTCGGAGATAATCCTTGGTGAACAATCTATCTTTTCCTGCGACATGCTCCTACCCTCAAGATCACGAATTGAATGCTCATCGAACGAATGAATACTCGGACTGGGTACTCACCAGAAAGTTTCTGAAGGATGCGGGCAGATTTATGTCCAGTTTTATCCGCCTCGAGGGACGCACCTCATCCGGGTTATCCAGGAATTTGCTCACCCGGATTTTAGCTGGCCGTCGTCAACCTGAAACGCGCAAGTAACCGCGGAGCCATCTCGCCAAAGTTACCGTCAGTTGCCCCTGATCTTACGAGCTGTTATAGCACAGCTGACCCTCATTGCAGTGCGCGAGAGCCGAAACCTATTCGATTGATAAGCTGCAAAACCTTCTCGACTTTTATCACAGTTATTGAATTAGTAGACGATGGCTCGTAAGCACAAAGACTATTCCATTTCCACCGCTAGTTTGGCGTGTGAGTTCTGAGGAATTCTCAAGTTCAGCGGGATAACTGACAGCCGTATTGGCCGGTAACAAACTTCTCATACAAGGGTGGCTCCATCACTCGCCTTTTGAGCTCACCGCACCGGCCGATAACAAACTCCGGCCGACATATCCATCGAGCCGCCGGCCCAACGGAGCATTGAAGTCGAGCACGTACACCGGAACATGTCTTGCAAGTTGCCCACCGGCATGCTGCAGCCTGCAGCACACTATAAATACCTGGCCAGACGCACCAGCTGAATCCATCAGGTCTCCATCCTCCTCTTCGAGAGCACAGCTAGATAGAGCTGAAGAACATGGCGAGCAAACACTCGTCCCTCTCCCTCTTCCTCGTCCTCCTTGGCCTGTCGGCCAGCTTGGCCTCCGGGCAAGTCCTGTTTCAGGTAAGATCGTGCCCTGTCTTCAGCTTCTACACGTACTACTGTGATCATGTTTCGGGGACTGAGCTTTGAGTTCTGCTGCGTGCGGCAGGGTTTCAACTGGGAGTCGTGGAAGCACAATGGCGGGTGGTACAACTTCCTGATGGGCAAGGTGGACGACATCGCCGCCGCCGGCGTCACGCACGTCTGGCTCCCTCCGGCGTCGCAGTCCGTCGCCGAGCAAGGGTACATGCCTGGCCGGCTCTACGACCTGGACGCCTCCAAGTACGGCAACAAGGCGCAGCTCAAGTCCCTCATCGGGGCGCTCCACGGCAAGGGCGTCAAGGCCATCGCCGACATCGTCATCAACCACCGCACGGCGGAGCGCAAGGACGGGCGGGGCATCTACTGCATCTTCGAGGGCGGCACCCCGGACGCGCGCCTCGACTGGGGCCCCCACATGATCTGCCGCGACGATCGGCCCTACGCCGACGGCACCGGCAACCCAGACACGGGCGCCGACTTCGGGGCCGCCCCGGACATCGACCACCTCAACCCGCGTGTGCAGAAGGAGCTCGTCGAGTGGCTCAACTGGCTCAGGACCAACGTCGGCTTCGACGGCTGGCGCTTCGACTTCGCCAAGGGCTACTCCGCGGACGTCGCCAAGATCTACATCGACCGCTCCGGGGCCAGCTTCGCCGTGGCCGAGATATGGACGTCGCTGGCGTACGGTGGGGACGGCAAGCCGAACCTCAACCAGGACCCGCACCGGCAGGAGCTGGTGAACTGGGTGAACAAGGTGGGCGGCTCCGGCCCCGGCACCACGTTCGACTTCACCACCAAGGGCATCCTCAACGTGGCCGTGGAGGGCGAGCTCTGGCGGCTGCGCGGCACCGACGGCAAGGCGCCAGGCATGATCGGGTGGTGGCCAGCCAAGGCGGTGACCTTCGTGGACAACCACGACACCGGCTCCACGCAGCACATGTGGCCCTTCCCTTCTGACAGGGTCATGCAGGGATACGCCTACATCCTCACGCACCCTGGGACCCCATGCATCGTGAGTCATCCTACCAGTTCATCGTCTAAATTGCTCTTCTTTTTTCGTTCATATAAGAACCCATGCATGAGTGACGAAAAATATTCGTGATTCTTCAGTTCTACGATCATTTCTTCGACTGGGGCCTGAAGGAGGAGATCGATCGCCTGGTGTCAATCAGGACCCGGCAGGGGATACACAGTGAGAGCAAGCTGCAAATCATAGAGGCTGACGCCGACCTTTACCTGGCTGAGATCGACGGCAAGGTCATCGTCAAGCTCGGGCCAAGATACGATGTCGGGCACCTCATTCCCCAAGGCTTCAAGGTGGTCGCGCACGGCAATGACTATGCCGTATGGGAGAAAATATAAGCAAAATTATCCAAGCAGCTCCACAATTTTTTTTCCTATATATGAATGCCACACCTATTAGTCCGAGCTCGTGTTGTCCACATAGTACGATTTTAGTACTTCCTCCATGTAAAAGTGAGGATGAGGGACATCCATTGTATTTTTCATAAATAATAATCAATAATCGTTTTCGCTACTCATGGTTTACTCAATGTTCATTGACCAAAAATTGCATAGAGCACGACCATGTGGGAGCGTGAAACCTGAAACTTGAGGCTTTGATGGTAGGAGCTCTGGCTTTGCATTAAGGATTAGGGCTCTTCTAGGATCAGATACCGACCAGAAGGGGAGGGGGTGAATGGGAACTTCAACAATTTCTTCAAAAAAAATGAGTTTTTTGAGCAAAAACTAAGTAAATAGAACAAGTGCAGATTAGAATAGAGAATAAACTAAACTGAAAAGAGAAATAATTGAGGTTAATCTAAGTAGCAATTCCAAACTAAACATGACATAGGTAGCAGAATAACAAGTGCTCAAAATCGTCTTCGAAGCAATCACAACAATCACCGTGAAATAAGACGGGGAGAAGTTCTTCGAACGCATGTACGTTACATAAGTAAATGAGTTTGATAAAGTAAAAAACATGTAAGCTTGACGAAGGCATAGATTTGTTCGACCAGTCCGAGTTGCTGGCACAACACTATGATCTGTTTGGAGGGGCCGAGATTAAGCTCGGAAGACAACGTCTTCATCCTATGTTCCTTCAGATAAAGTCACTTAGACTTCGCTCAATTACTTGTGATAGATCTTCGATGTAGATCTCCGGGACCTTCGCAGACTTGTTCTTCGGTTGCCCACAATTACCCACGGACGCTTAGAACAGACACCTAACCATCTAGTGGATGCACGATCCATAAGAGTAATAGGTTAAGTTAAGTCTCAACTAGTTCATCAATGATGCTTAATCACTTAGCAAGTTTTAGGCTTTGGGGTTGTTCTCTCTTACGATTCTCAAAATCTCTGGGGAGGATGGGTTGCTCTGACAACCTCTTGTCAGTTCTCTTATGGAGTAGCCAACCAGTTCAGGTTGCAGTGGGGTGGCAATTATAGCCGGAACAATACCAATGTGTGGCATGTTGCAGCTAATTTTGAACCTAGTTTCTATGGTGAGCGGATAGCAGCTGATTAGGTGGGCAGCAGATTCGTGATCGTAGTCTCGTGCGTGTAGCCTATCAGCGGTCAGAAGCTGATTTTGTACTAAAAGCTAGGGGAAGAATTTGGTTTTCCTCTCAATTCCAAGGCTCCAATTTTTTCTCAAGCTCTGGTCTAGCAATTGATCCCAGAAACTTGCTAGAGTATGCACAAACTAGATTTTCGAAGCTGTGTTGTCCACATAGTGCGATTTTAGTACTTCCTCGATGTAAAAGTGAGGATGAGGGACATCCATTGTATTTTTCATAAATAATAATCAATAAGTGTTTTCGCTACTCATGGTTTACTCAATGTTCGTTGTCCAAAAATTGCGTAGAGCACGACCATGCGGGAGCGTGCAACCTAAAGCTTGAGTCTTTGATGGTAGGAGCTTTGCCTTTGCATTAAGTGTTGGAAATATGCCCTAGAGGCAATAATAAAATGGTTATTATTGTATTTCCTTGTTAATGATAATTGTCTATTGTCCATGCTATAATTGTATTAACCGGAAACCGTAATACATGTGTGAATACATGGATCACAAAATGTCCCTAGTAAGCCTCTAGTTGACTAGCTCGTTGATCAATAGATGGTCATGGTTTCCTAACCATGGACATTGGATGTCATTGATAACGGGATCACATCATTAGGAGAATGATGTGATGGACAAGACCCAATCTTAAGCGTAGCACAAGATCGTGTAGTTCGTTTGCTAAAGCTTTTCTAATGTCAAGTATCATTTCCTTAGACCATGAGATTGTGCAACTCCCTGATACCATAGGAATGCTTTGGGTGCACCAAACGTCACAACGTAACTGGGTGGCTATAAAGGTGCACTACAGGTATCTCCGAAAGTGTCTGTTGGGTTGGCACGAATCGAGACTGGGATTTGTCACTCCGTATGACGGAGAGGTATCTCTGGGCCCACTCGGTAATGCATCGTCATGATGAGCTCAATGTGACAAGTGAGTTAGTCACGGGATCATGCATTACGGAACGAGTAAAGAGACTTGCCGGTAACGAGATTGAACGAGGTATTGGGATACCGACGATCGAATCTCGGGCAAGTAACATACCGGTGAACAAAGGGAATTGTATACGGGATTGATTGAATCCCCAACATCGTGGTTCTTTCGATGAGATCATCGTGGAACATGTGGGAGCCAACATGGGTATCCAGATCCCGTTGTTGGTTATTGGTCGGAGAGTTGTCTCGGTCATGTCAGCATGATTCCCGAACCCGTAGGGTCTACACACTTAAGGTCCGATGACGCTAGGGTTATAGGGAAAGTTTGTACGTGGTTACCAAATGTTGTTCGGAGTCCCGGATGAGATCCTGGACGTCACGAGGAGTTCCGTAATGGTCCGGAGGTAAAGAATAATATATATGAAGTGAGGTTTTGACCACCGAAAGTGTTTCGGGCGTCACCGATAATGTACCGGGACCACCGGAGGGTTCCGGGGGTCCACCGGGAGGGGCCACCAGCCCCGGAGGCTTGCATGGGCCAAGAGTGGGAAGGGACCAGCCCCTGAGTGGGCTGGTGCGCCTCCCACCAGAGCCTAAGGCGCAGCTAGGAGGAGAAAGGGGGAAACCGTAGGCGCAGATGGGCCTAAGGCCCACCCTAGGGCGCGCCCCCTCTCCCCCTCTTGGCCGCCCCCCTACATCCCATCTAGGGCTGCCGCCCCCCTAGGGGTGGGAACCCTAGAGGGGGCGCACCCTCCTCCCCTTTGTAACACCCTCGATGCGACTATATCTCCCACGTGTCGAGGCACGACTTAGAGGTATAATCGCATTGAAGGCATATGTCGCAAGTTAGGCAATCTTCACAACATCCCATGTAATATAAATAAATAAAAGGAAGAAACATAGTTGGCTTACACTCGCCACGTCAATCAAGTACATAAATAGCATTACATCATCCAAACACTCATGGCCCGACTACGGCGCCAAAATAAAAGATAACCCAACATGCGACACGGTCCCGATCACCCCCAACTGGGCTCCACTACTGATCATCAGGAAAGGAAACATAGTATTGTTGAGAGTCCTCGTCAAACTCCCACTTGAGCTCAAGCGCGTCACCTGGAGCGGAATCATCAGGCCCTGCATCTGGTGTGACAGTAATCTGTGAGCCACAGGGACTCAGCAATCTCGCACCCTCGCGATCAAGACTATTTAAGCTTATAGGTAAAGGCAAGGTAAAATATGTGGAGCTGCAGCAAGCGACTAGCAAATATGGTGGCTATCCTGTTCGCAAAAGAGAGCGAGAAGAGGAGGCAAAGCGCGAGCGAGAAACTAGAGGGCAACCTGCGGCAAACATTACTCCAACACCGTGTCCACTTCCCGGACTCCGCCGAGAAGAGGCCATCACGGTAACACACTCAGTTGATTCATTTTAATTAAGTTAAGGTTCAAGTTATCTACAACCGGACATTAACAAATTCTCATCTGCCCATAACCGCGGGCACGGCTTTCGAAAGTTCAAATCCCTGCAGGGGAGTCCCAACTTAGCCCATGACAAGCTCTCACGGTCAACGAAGGAATAGACCTCCTCCCAAGACGTTCCGATCAGACTCAGTATCCCGGTTCTTCAAAACAACCCCGACAATGGTAAAACGAATCCAGCAACACCACCCGCTGTGCCGACAAATCCCAATAGGAGCTGCACATATCTCGTTCTCAGGGCACACCGGATAAGCTAAGCGTACGGGAGCCAACGTAACCCAAGTTGCCAAGGGACGGCCCCGCACGGTGCTCTAGGTTGGACCAACGCTCAGAGGAGCACTGGCCCGGGGGTTTAAAATAAGATGACCCTTGAGTCCGCGAAACCCAAGGGAAAAGGCTAGGTGGCAAATGGTAAAACCAAGGTTGGGCATTGCTGGAGGAGTTTTATTCAAGGCGGACTGTCAAGGGGTTCCCATTATAATCCAACCGCGTAAGGAACGCAAAATCCGGGAACATAACACCGATATGACGGAAACTAGGGCGGCAAGAGTGGAACAAAACACTAGGCGAGAGGCCGAGCCTTCCATCCTTTACCAAGTATATAGATGCATTAAGATAACATGGCAATATAATGATATCCCAACAAGTAAATAAAGTTCCAACAAGGAACGGTCTCCAATCTTCACCTGCAACTAGCAACGCTATAAGAGGGGCTGGGCAAAGCGGTAACATAGCCAATCAACGGTTTGCTAGGACATGGTGGGTTAGAGGTTTGACATGGCAATATGGGAGGCTTGAAAGCAAGTGCTAGGCATCGTAGCATTGGCATAGCAAAAGAGCGAGCAATCTAGCATAGCAAAGATAGTAGTGATTTCGAGGGTATGATCATCTTGCCTGCAAAGTTGTCAGAGTTGAATGAATCCTCGAAAGCAAACTCAACGGGCTCCTCGTTAGCGAACTCGTCTCCCGGCTCTACCCAAACAAGACAAACAAGCAACAAGGACACAATCAACCACGTGCAAGGATCAAACAATATGATGCAAAGATGGTATGCTATGCGGGATGCGATGCGGGATGCATATGCAAGATGTGTCAAGGAATGCATGAACCTGGCCTCAACTTGGGAATCCAAGTGTGCCACTGGAAAGATGAGATGAAATCGCTTGAAAATGATATAAAGAACGCCGGAATCGGAGTTACGGTTTGGAAATGGCAAGCGATTCAAATATGACACCGGTCTGCGATTTACAGCAAGTAGCCATCTAAATGCAATGAGATGAACATGATACAACACCCAAACATGGCAACAAAATACATGGCAGGAATGCATTCATGATGCTTAACAAAAGTCTAGCACTGAGCTACGGCCAATTCATCCACTAAC